GGACCTACTGTAATTCCACAGTCCAGCCGTATGAGATGAGTTCTGCAATTTTAGTTCGGTACTGAATTGTATTAAGGTATCCGACTACGTTCGGAACCATGATTTTTCAAAAGCGTGTAAATGGATAATATTTATGATGTTTAGTGTCACTTAGATTAGAAAGTGTATATAAACGTGTTTCATAAGAATAGTATTACAATAAAAAAATTATTTAAGTACAATATTTTGTCTGGAAATGAACGTAGAATTACCAATTTTCAAAATGTTCTCTTTTTGTGAAAAATGCTTCTATTATAATTATATTTTGCCTGTGTATAGCTCAGACCTCTGTACAGAGGCTGAACTAGAATCTTTGAAATATATAACTTAGAAATGGGTTTATCAATGTTTTACGACAACAGAGGGGAGAATTTTTAAGAAAAAAACGCTGATAATTATTTCAATGGTTTGTAACTCTGAAAATGTTGTAAATTTTTCAAAAATCGTGGTTGAGCCTCTGTACGGAGGTTTGAGCTATATACAGGCAAAAAATTATTATAATAGAAGCATTTTTGACAAAAGGAGAACATTTTGAAAAAAGGTTATTCTAAGTTACATTTTTGCCGAAATATATATTTAAATCGTTGGTTTTGGTCAAAATATCCTTAAAACAATTTTATACATGTATTCTAATCTTAGTGACACTAAATATCATGAAAATGATCCATTTATGCGCTTTTTTAAAATCACGGTTCCGAACGTAGTCGGATACCTTAAGGCAGTCAGGTGGTGTTTTTCTGCTTAAAGCTAAAATTGCAGCTTGGGAGTCTATGAAAAAGACAACATTTGCAGGAGCTAGGCCAGCAGACAGTAAATGCGTTGAAGCTCCACAGACAGTCAAGACCTCACCATCGTAGTCGATGGCGTTCTTTTCCTCGGCCAATGAGCCCTCAAACAGCCTGCAGAACCCTCCCGCGTCGGATCCGTTTTTTTCTGGCAGGTATGAGCCGTCAGTGTAGATATGGAGGAACTCCTTTGTTGGATATCTTTCTTCGATCATTTCCAGAGCGCAATATTTTAATTCTTGAGGAATAACATCAGCCTTATTTAATGTCATGTTAGGCAGGTTGAGCTGTTTAGATGGAAGAGCAGTATCGACTGGGAAGTAGAACTGTATAGGAGCACGGCGAGTCAATAGTAGCGAAAGTTGGTGTTTCTGCATAAGAAGTTCTGCATGTGTTTATTATCGATTTCTGCATCAGAATTCTATTTATTGGCTCCAACAAATCAACAGTTTCCTGAGCTGTAGTAGCACAAACAGGCAGTCCCTCATCCAATTTAACATAAAGGTTGAAATCTTAAAATATTCTCTACGTTATGATGTGAGATGAGATAAGAAAGGAATTTACTGTCCAATTCAAAACTAGCACGGTAGGTAACACTTATGACTCATCTACACCTGTTTAGGGTAATGGCACCCTTTGCCATTGAAAGTTGCTACTTACAAGAAAATTCTTTTTTCTGTTCCGGATAAAAAAATGATGTTACACAAACTAATAAAAAAATATGTTCAACTGTTAAAATAGTTCGTTAATTCGAGATTTATTATTCGTTCAATAGGGGCTTTTGCCTTCATTTTAATCGGGGAAAGAGAAACAGTCGTTAAATCACCAAATTCATTAAATAGTGGTTCGTTAAACGGGGCCCGACTGTATTTTGTGTTTTGACATTTGTCTCTATAACAGGACAAAGTAATTAAGGTATTGAATATACGATTATATATATCTTTTCTTCCATGACTCGCTGCATCAGTCATGGAACACAAAAGTGCAAAAAGAATTTGTTCCACTTCTCATATTACCGTTAAATCGCTAAATTCATTAAATAGTGGTTCGTTAAATCGGGGCCCGACTGTATTTTGTGTTATGACATTTGTCTCTATAACAGGACAAAGAAATTAAGGTATTGAATGTACGAATATATATTTCTTTTTTCCATGACTCGCTGCATCAGTCATGGAACACAAAAGTGCAAAAAAGAATTTGTTCCACTTCTCATATTACCATGAAACAGGGTGAGTATAAAAATCAATTTAAAGCAAAATCTTTAAAAAAAGTCTTTAAAAGAAAATATCAAACTACATTTCAAAATATAAAAGTATTTCTGTTTCGAAATATAATACGTACATTTGACATCTTTTACCTGAAAAGAGTTTAATTTAATAAAAAATTAATTTTCTTTGAAAACAGTGTGTATGCAGAAATATTTTCATTTACTTAGAAATATAGAAAACAATGTTTTGGTTTGTGAGGGAAATAAGGGCAATAACCTGCCCAACATTTTTGATTTCATCTGAAAGCTGCTAAGAGTGAATATATGAAATCGCATTTCTTGAAGTACCCTCACAAATTAATATTTAAAATACACTCAAAACTACGAGAAATTAAAATATTGTTAAATTTTTATTTTAGTTAATTATCAATGAAAAATAAGAACTTAGCGACAATGAGACGTCACCATTAAAACTTTCTAGACTGGAACATAAACATTCATGCGAGACTGTCAAAAAAAATTTTTTTTTAAAAAAAACTTTTTTTAAGCGAGAGGGAAAATTTTAAATTTCACCAAGACGTGTCTATTCATCTGACGTTAAGTAATACTTGAAAATCACAGAGTTGAATAAGGTAATTCATTTTTCATTACAGGAAATATTTCTAATGAGAAATATCCGCAAATACATGTGGAAATATTCTTGTAGTTTTACACTTGTTTCTGTTAAAAAGTTTTAGTTTTTAAAATGAAACCTCATTGCAATATTTCGATGGCTTTATACTGAATTCAGATATTTCTTACATTTTATACATTTTTAAATCAATTCTTACTATTAGTTTACACTCTCCCTATATATATATATATATATATCTTGCTCAAATATTCAATCGTTAATAAAATATTTTATATTCATCAATTCAAGTTCAAATACATTATTTTACAAGTGTAGTGAATAACACTTGATGTTAATACAGTTTTTTTCAAATATTAATTCATTAATTAAATTAAAAAAATAAACAAATAGTAATAAAAAAATAGTAGTTCAACAGCATATATAGATAGAAAAATCTTTCGTTGTGTCCCTGTAGTGCAAAGGATAGCGCGTTGGACATCTAATTCAATGGTCATGGGTTCGAATGCCGCCTGGGATGGAATAATTTCTGAGAATGTGATTTATTTTTTACTATACTACTTGATTAGAATAATTTAATTTAATTAACGAATAAACAGTAGTAAACAAAAAAAAATATTACACAACACCCTATATAAAAAGGAAAATGGAAAATTGCAATGAAAATCGCTTTGTATTTTGTCACTTAATAGTGTGATTCTGTGATATGTATGTATTTACTTTCATTGCAACTATTTAATAAAAAGTAACTAAAATAAATTTTGTCTTTGTTGACATAAGTAGGAATGGAGTTAACTTTTTTTGTATTACTTGCTTTTATATTATTTTTCGTCATGTGAAGAGAAAGTGAAGGAATGTGCAAAATCAATAAAACAAAACATTCTGTTCTATAATTTATCTGTTCTAAACATTCCGTTTAAATATTTCTATGGCTGCGTTTTCCTTCCATTTCTAAGCCAAGGAACTAATTTAGCATATTTTGCGCAGAAAAGTTCTAAATAATTTATACGCTGTAGTGAATTAAAAGTTTCTGAGACTTTATAATATTAAATGTTTATGTTAGACGAAGAATAGAAACGTTCTCTTTTACAAATGCCTTTTAAATACAGCATTTAAATACAAAATTGTTCGAATGTGGAAAATAATTCATTTAACTCAATATGAAACCAAGTTTTGAAGAAAATAATCCTTTCTCTTCCGAAATGCAATTTAATTAACTCTGTACGATGGTTTTTGCTTCCTATTGACAAGTAAAATAAATTACGCTATTCAAGAAATGCGAGTTTTTTAAGTAGATAGTCGTACTTCTTTAATATTGATCGCTTTAAAAAACACTGCAGAGGTTCTAACGCTTCACAAATTAATACCATTATCTAATCCTGAAAGAAACCAACTTAAGTAACAGAGAGTACAATAAAATCTGTACACACACACATTCTTACTTAACAAAAAAAAAAAAAAAAAAAAAC